CATGTTATGTACTACACACCACTTCCTCTCCAGTCACCTCCCACCCTCTTTCTGTCTCTGGTGCATACTGTCTTCAACAGAGGCCCAGCTTGCCACACCTGGCCATCTTGCAAAATGGCATTTTCTAAAAAGCCTTCCTGATCTATACCCCTGTGGACACAGGGAAGAGGCTGAGCTCCAAATGCCACTGGTACTGTCTAGCTGTGGGCCTCTGGGTAATTGTGACCTGTCAGCCCAATTCACCTCTAAAAACAGTAACCCTTCGCAGGGTTGTCATAGAGATTACTAGTCAAGTATATCCCAGGTTAAGAGCAGACACACAGCAGTGAGCAGTAAGCAGACCATCACTCCCGCCCCAGCACTGCTTTGGTGATCAAGTGAGGTCGTAAGCCTCATGCCAGAGCAGCGCCTTGGTGGGGTGGGAGGCGCTAAGTGAAGTCTGGCCACTTCTCTTCACTCTGCTCTTCTCTTCTCCCATTGTGACAGCACAGGCTTATCTTCCTCACAACTGGCTTTCGGGCTCGTAACTGCATGTTCACCAATCCATCACAAGAGTCCTAGGGCACAAACCTGACCTTATCAAACATTGGAGGACCTTTGACAACTTCATCCTCAGCCACCATGCCAGCCCACCCAACCTCTCCAGTCCCCATGTAACTTCATGTTCAACCACAATACTGTCTGTTTCCCAATTGTTCCACGCTACCATCCTTCCCAGCTCACCTAATCCTTCTTCAAACATAGCTCAAACATTCTCATCTTCAAAGTTCTCCCAACCCAAGAATTTTCTTTTATATCCCAAACATCTTTCTTCATAATTAATTCACAAATGGCATTCTAAGTTTGCTGGTCTTGTTTCTAGCTAGCTCCAGTCCAGCTATGAAACCCTGAGATAGAAGCTTAATATTGTTCCCATTAATATCAGCAATCTAGAAGACTGGAAAAAAAAAAACTGCTGCTATAAACAAAGTACTTCTAGAAACTTAGGTTTAAAAGATCCATTTAACTCTGAACATATCATAAAGAGATTAAATAACACTGAAAAAATAACCCATGCAAATGCTCACAGTGGAAAGTATGTCAGGCCAAATTAATACTAAGGAGAAAAATGAAGGGCTGGAGGCATGGCTCATGTGCAAAGTGCTTACCTAGCCATCATAGTCCTGAGTTCAAAGCTCAGCACTCCCTCACCACACACAGAAAAAACAATTGGAATCTCAGTATTTTTAAAATCTGGTTAAAATTTCAACCATAAGGATAACATCTCACTATGTTCTCATTCCCAACAGAAAAAAGTAAGATCTAGCAAAAGCCACGTTTTGGTTAACGGTGATGTATTCTGAGGTTTCTTTTTGGAAAGGTCCGCTTGATCCCAGTAGGGTAGGACAAAAGCAGTGGAATGATGTAAGTGGTCATGCACATCATTTTCCTTGTAAAAATAGATTTAAAGAGTTATTTTTTGTCTTCAATGATTTAAACTTCTAACCACCAATCACCACCAATCATCACAAGGACTGACATTATAGTTTTATAATCCATCCCTATTACCTACAGAAACCTAGAACCATGTACTTGATAGTACCAGTCTGAATAATATACTTGCTTAAAACCGAGTCATTTTGTACTGGAGAAGGGAAAAGCTACACTAGCATTTGGAATAAAAGGAAGAGTACTAATGCAACTCTTTAAAAAAATGTTAGAACATGTGATTTCTCATTTTTTTAATACTCCAAATATAACTCACTGTATTTAGCACCTCCTGTACTTTCCAGTATATTAGATAATTGCACACCATGTTAAAAACAAAATAAAGGAAAACATTCCTGCCACCCACCTTTTTCATAAAAACAAAACATTTTAGATACATACACACACACACACACACACACACACACACAGAGCATCGTGTAAAGGTCAGAATGACTAGCCCCAAAGAAACCTGTTTTTTTGCTTTTGTTTTTTTTAATTAAAAAACTTTGAATCCATGTATAGTGTCCATACTTGGAACCTCAGCATTTGTGAGCTTGTGAGGCTGAGGTAGAAGGACTGTAAGTTTAAGACTGGTCTGGGCTACATAGTGAGACACTACCTCAAACCACCTGTCCCTGCCCAAATTTGAACATTTAGAGGGTTTGGGGAGGACAATAGGACTTCAATTGTGTTGAATATTGGTTTAGGCAACAAAGAAGGTTAGTGATATTCAGACCCTGCTCTGGAGAGCCATGCAGGTGACTTGGTGGCTGTGGCCTCTGACCCTATATTTTTTTGTTGCCTACTTATACACTGAGCAAATGTGCCTGGAACTTTAAGAAGTTTACAAATTTATCAATAATGGTAATACGTCAATGTCCAATAAACAGAAACACTGAATGCAGAAATGGTTTTAAAAAGTGGTAAGGCAAAGGGGAAACAAGAGTGTAACAGATGTGGACATGACTAAAGTTCTTTAAATGCATGTGTGAAAATGTCACAGTGGAACCCACTATTTTGTACAATATACACAAATAAAAAATTTTAAAGGGTTAACTCAGTAAGAAACAGGTAAGAGTGATGTCTACAGTTGCTTTTCCTTTATGATAAAGTTTGTTCTTTTGCTTCTGGTCCATCGCATTAGACTATGTTGTTCACGGAAGAGATGCAGGTTAAGCTTTCTCGGCTTGGTTTTGTCACAAAGACGGTAGATGGCTTTGGCTAGAGAAGATATGATCCTATTGAGAAGTGACGTTCTGGATTTCTGCTTAGGTGGAGGGGAAGGAGCCTACAAAACACTGGGAAGGAGACACACCTTCCTGCTGTCAGACTGCACAAGAGATTACACCCCTTCCAAGGAAACTCCTGACTCTTAACACCTCCAAAACTTCTATTTCCAGCCAATTAACATGGTCAAAAATCAGAAATTGTAAACAGTCATCAACTAAATAAATCAAGACTATGGCAGGAGGTGGGGAAAGGGTGTAGGAGGGTGAATATGGGGCAAATACTGTGTATACAAACAAGTAAATGGAAAAATGAGACCTGTTAGCTATTCCAGGAATGGGGTGAGGGGGAGAAGAGAATGATGGAGGTGTGAATTCAAGTATAATATATTGCAAGAACTTCTGTAAATGGCACAATGTACCCCCACCAAGCACGATTTAAAAATATTTTTAAAAGACTATACAAAATTAACCCTTTTAATTGTCTTCTTTGATGAAAAAACTATGGAATTGGAAGTTTCTTTGCCAGTACTTGATCCATGATGCAGAGGCAGCTAACATGGACCAGCTTTCTCCCACATTATTGAGATTGTGACAGAGAAGAAAAGAAAGTATCAAAGTCACCTAAGAAGAATCCTGTTCTCCTTGCCCCCCACATACCAAAATGCTTCTACAGCAAGTGAAAGGATGGGCGAATTTTCTACTTGCAAAACTTTGTATAATGTGGAACATTTGTACTTAATGCTTATCAACAAGACAATAGAATTGAGCCTCTCCACATTAAGACTGTTTCAAGCATCAGGATCAAAAAAAGAAAACATTACTAGCTTTTATGTTTGGAAAGCAAACTATGAGACTATTCACTGATAAAACAGTCTTTCCTAGTTGGCTAAAAAAAGTACCAGAATGAAGAATAATTTGAACTGTGTTAAATGACATGTGGCTCCTAGTATCACTGGATATTTAAGACTCAGAAATAAAAACAATGGTGTCTGTTCCAAACACGGAAGACAAATGTGATACACACATACTCTCCCAAACTGTGCAAATGACCTATTTAATAAAATGTTAAGAACCATGAGTGTAGATCCTTCCCTCTGTAAAACTACAGTAAGTGGAAATAATTCTAAACCTATAACAGAAGGCCAAGAAAAGAACAGTGTCTTAGAGGCAAGTCAGCTAAGCTCCATGGTCTCTTTCCTCAAAAGATCTAATATAAGACATGGACGGGTGCAGTAACATGAGCTTACAGAAGCAAGACCCCAATGTCTTCTTGCTCTAAACTGCATATTAAAATAGACACACAAGGTGAGATCTTTTAATCCTTTTCAGAATAAGACAAGATACAAGTATTATTTAACATTTATAAAAGGTTTTGAATACTAGACCTTCAACAAAATATCAAACTTTCATCTAATTATAATCCCATTAAAGTACATAGATAACTTTGTTCATAACATACGTCATTAAAATCAATGCAAAATATGAAACACAGGCGAGTAATCATATTTTTATTGTTATTATATGTAACATTTTCTGATTATAAAATCTCTTTTCAAAGAAATAACCACACATTGGTGTATTTCCTTTTCTCCTCTTTAACCAAGAGAAAACTGAGCTCATCCCTGGCACACATACATACAGTTTTAAATCCTGAGATTTTTTTAAGTGAATGATTTCCACCCATCTTTCCAAGCAGCATGGAGTGTCAAAAGAGATGCAATTTATGGCTTGCACCACCTGAGGGCACCAGTCCAATCTTCAAACAACTTTTACAGTTTTTATTTACTAAGAAGGAAGCCTGTTCTACTTGGAAGTTTCTGGCTCAGTAGTGGCTTTAAAAATGTAGTTCAGAAAACATGTGTTGCCTCATAAAAAGTAAAAAAACAGCAACATACGTTGGTATGGGCTTGTATTCCACCTACATGGGAAGATGAGGCAGGACAATCACTTGAGCCCAGGAGTTCAAGGCCAGCCTGGGAAACAGAGATGATAATGATAAATGGGCATGGTTCCTATCCACTGTGTCTCACATCCCAGAAAGAACAGCTGAGTTTTTAGAGCAGGATGAACCAAACCAAATAATTTCAAGTGAAAGGGTAAAGAAACAGACTCAGCTTTGTAAGACTAACCTAGATTCCAAGTTTGCCATCAACAATCAAAAGTTCACATTTTGGCCTTAGACAACAAAATTCACCAATTACTTCAAATAAGTATGTGATTTAAAAGTTGGGAGAAAAGATCTGTTTTAACATATACACAGCAGTTCAGTTCAAGAATACAAGTAAAGCACAGACGGCGTACCTGCCTCCTGTGAATTTAACACTTCTAAGGCATGCATCATGGCACTTGCGAAGACGTTGGCATCCTCTTTGCTGCCGAAGTTGAGACCGTACACCTGCCTAGCATCTCGCCATTGGTGGAAGGTCTGTGTAGCTTGATTGTACTTCAACCCTTTAGGAATGGCACAGTTTATCACCACCTAAAAGACAGCAATGCTTTATAAAATCCAGCTAATTAACTGGCAAACAAAGCAAGCTGATAAATTCTAACTGCATAGTTTCACTCACACCTGTTCCTAATGGACACTGTCAAAATTGGTTAGATCAGATGGCTAAGTTAAAAGCAACCTATAAAAAACATGTGAAGTGACATGTCTGATGTTTACAAAGATATGCCTTAAAACAGTGAATCACAAAATAAACCTTACACCCCTCGCTAAATGTATTTCAACTTGTTTGCTAAAGAGTGACAAGTGCAAAAATACAACATTAATTCCAAAAGGCCCCTCTTTAACTCCTCCCACCCCTCAAAAGGGACTAAACATACCTCCACACCATCAGCGAGCCTTACAGGACTGTGAATTTCACGTTAAGTAGAGTCACTCATTCTGTATTGTAACGTAGCTGCCCTCTTTCCCTCAGCACTAGTTTATGAGAGTCATCCACTTGCTGCACACAGATGTGGTTTCTTCTTTTCAGTCTCTATATGGTATTACTTTGCATTAACTGTTTATTTACCCATTCTCCCATTAATGTGCATTCAGATTGTTTGCAGTTTGGGGTTACTACAAGTAATCTCAATGTCATTTGGTACATATAAGCACACATTTTTTGATGGGCATATCCCCAGAAGTGGATTCAGCACAGGCCATGAGCAGAGCTTTCTGAACTGGTTCTCTCCATTTACACTCCCCAGCAGCACACAAAAGCTTGCACAATTATGCACACCAAGGAGCACACAGCTGGCAATGGGGGTCTTCAGGTAGTAATCACCCTGACTGTTAATGAAGTTTGTTACTTTTTCATGTTTTATTGGCTACCAAGATACCTTCTTTTGTGAATGCCTGGTTATAAAAATACATCTCTGGCCCATTTTTCTCCTGAGCTGTCCATCTTTTTCTTCACTGATTTGTAAGAGTTTTTTACATATTCTGGGTAGGATCCCACTGTAGTTATCTGTGTGGCAAATATATTCCATGATGTGCCTTTTTACTCAGTGGTGTCTTGACAAACAGAAGCTCTTCACTTTTATTTAGTTCAAATTACCCATTTTTCCAGGTGCCAGTTAACCCTAGCTGCTCAGGCGGATTGAGGTTCACAGCCAGCCCGGGCAAGTAGCCTGGGCAAATAGTTCTTAAGACCCTACCTCAAAAAAACCCTTCATGAAAAAGGATTTGTGGAGTGGCTCAAGGTGCAGGCCCTGAGTTCAAACCCCCAGTACTGCACCAGAACAAAACAAAACAAAACATCTTTTTCCTTTTTACAGTTAAAAGGGAACTTTATTCATATGTGCATACAATGCTTGGGTTATTTCTCCCCCCTGCCCCCACCCCCTCCCTTACCACTCACTCCGCCCCCTCCCTCTCCCTCCCACCCCCTCGATACCCGGCAGAAACTATTTTGCCCTTATCTCTAATTTTGTTGAAGAGAGAGTATAAGCAATAATAGGAAGGAACAAGGGTTTTTGCTGGCTGAGATAAGGATAGCTATACAGGGAGTTGACTCACATTAATTTCCTGTGCATGTGTGTTACCTTCTATGTTAATTCTTTTTGCTCTAACCTTTTCTCTAGTTCCTGGTCCAAAATGGAACTTTTTGTCCTGCTTAAAATGTTTCTCAATTCCAAAGTCATGAGAACATTGCCTCATTGTATCTTATAGAAGCTCTGTTACTCCACTTTCACATTTGCACCTCTAATCCACCTGAAATTGACCCGTGCCTACTCAGGCTTCCTATGTGTTTGACTGAGGACAGCCATCTAACAGGCCCACCTCTATGTATGTATTCATCGTGCTACAGATCAAGTGTCCACCTGGCTCTGATGTGTCCTGGTGGTCAATGTGCCCAATGTCTGCTGACACTACGATGCCTTATTATTGCAGCTTCACTCCATGTCTCAGCAGCCTCTAGTCTGCCCTCCTACTCTGTTCCTCAAGGTCGCTTTGTCCATTTTTGGTCCCTTGTGTGAAACTACCATTTTATATTCTGAGGGTCAATTTTCACCAAATAATTGTTGGGGTTCTGATTAAGACTGCACTGACCTATATGAGAACAACTGATGTCATAATACAGGGCCTAGAAAGAAAGCTTTCTTAATTTCACCTTAAAATAGGATCTTTTGTGTTTTTTCCTTCTTTCTACCAGACTAGCAAGGTGCTTTCTGTTTCTCTGATAGATAAGGTTTCATGATTATCTGTTTTTTTCCTTTTTATGTGGTGAATTTCTATGATGGATTTTCTGATATTAAACCAACCATACATTCCTAGCATAAACCACCTTGGTCTTCATGCATTACCAATTTTTATACATCCCTGGGTTTTTGTTGCTACTACTATGTTTAGGATTTTACAACTACATTCATAAGTTAAATTAATCTGTAACTTCCTTTCTATTATATTCATGCCAGGTCTTTGTTTTTGATACCCAGTCTCACTATGTAGCCCAGCTGGACTTGAATTCGTGATCCTCCCATCTCAGCCTCAGGTGCTGGGATTATAGGTATGTTCCATCATGCCTGATCATATCAGTTTTGATATCAGAGTTATGAACTGGGAACTGACCTCTTTTTGTATTCTCTGGGGAAAAAATTATATAATACTGGGGTTATTTCATTAAAGGTCTGGTACATACGCAGCACTAGAACCACTGAAATCAAAGTTTTCTTCCTTTTAAATTCCTTTAATTATATTCTTAATTTCTTTAAAAGTAGTAAGACTCAGGTTTGCTGTTTCTTCTTAGCAGTTTTTGGTCAGTTATGTTTTCCTAGGAGTTTATACATTTTATCTGACACACAGCTGAGTTCTATGTATCCCTGTGCTCCTTTTCATCTGGAAGCTCTACAGAGGTAGCCCTTCCTGATACTCCCTTTTTTCTCTCTCACAGAACCAACTTCTCCTTGGCACAATTGCTTCCATTGCATTGCAGTTTGCTCTTTCCTTTATTACTGTCCTCACTTTGTTTCACTTAACTTTAGTTGACTAGTCCTTAATTTCTTGGGATGAACGCTTTGGCTGGCTAACAGTCAATACTACTGCTTTTCTAATGTAAACATTTAGCCTCTGAATCTTCCTGCAGTTTTAGCTGCATTCTATTGGTACTGATACACAGCACCTTCAGCTCAACAAATTTTTCTAATTTCATAGTGACTTCTTCTTTGACCCATGGGTTATTTAAAGAAGTATTTAACCTCTAAACCTTTAGGATTCCCTACACATCTTATTTCCAGATTAATTCTGCAGTGGGCAGAAAACTGTGTAATTCCAATCTTTTGAAATGTGTTAGTACTTGCTTCATGACCAAGCATAGGTTCAATTGTGAAATATGTGAAGTTATGCTCATGTGTCCCACGTGTGACTCTCCCCAAAGCTCTGCTCAGATCCTCAATCCCCCTTTTAAAACCTGTATGCCTCCTGGTAAACAGAAACTCAACACCAGCTTAGCCTCTCTGGCTCTTTTCTCTCAGATCATGGACCAGTAATTCTTCACTATCACGTAAGTGCTCCAAATACTCTTTACTTTTTTATATTCCAATTGTTTCAGTTCCCAAGGAGAGTCTACCTAAATTGCCTCAACCATCAATATCCAAAAAAGTATGATAACATTTTGAAAACTATTACATTAAGTAAAGTAAGCCAGACACAACAGACAAGTATTTTATGATTCCACTTCTATTAACTACCTAGAAAAGTCTAGTTCATAGAGACAAACAGTAGAACAGGACTCCCCAGGGGCTGGGAGGAAGGGGTAATAGGAAGTTACTGCTTCCGTTTGAAGAGATTAAACACATGCACATTTTGGAGGTGGTGGTAGTGATGGTGACATAACAATGTGAATGTACTTAATGTCACTAGACTGTACATTAAAAAATGGCTAAGATTTCGTGTTATATATTTTATAATAAATATGTGACGACCTCTTATCATTTGGTTTATAAATATTGCAGAGAGGCCACAAATTCTTAGCTACTAGAAATCCAAGGCTACTAAAATTTAACATTAATAGAAAATTACAAATCCAATTTTGAGGCAAATTTATATCTCTATTTGGTAAATAGCTTAAAAATGGGAAACAAGATAGGTGTCATCCATAAGTTTTTAATTTTCTGTCACAGAATATTAGAAAAGTTTGAGAGAAACAGAATCTAAATTGTATTCTAGTACAATTTGGTTCTACTAGAATCAAAATTATATTACATAAATGATTTGACTCACTTTTTCCAACATAAATAATTTTAAATTTGACTCAGTTCTTTCACTCCTCTAACCTTTCAGACTAAAACGCTGCAGTTGTCTTTAAAAATAAGGAAAAGGTATGTTTTCATTTAATGATGACCACTTACTGGACATCCACTGCAGTATGTGCTGTAGGCCCAAGCACTGTGGCTCCAGACACAAGGAGCCTGAACCTACATGGGTGGTACTGCCTTCCGGCCTACAGCTTTATCCACTTTAGCCAGACCGCATCAGGGTAAACAATGCAGTGAACACCTGCACCTTTGTGATTGCCTCAGTCTCTATCTTTATTTATTTATTTATTTTTGGTGGCACTGGGGTTTGAACTTGGGACCTCATTTGCTAGGCAAGTGTTCATACTGTTTGAGTCATTCCACTAGCCCTTTTTTTCGTGATGGGTTTTTTTCAAGATAAGAGTCTCACAAACTATTTGCTGGTTTGGAACCATGATCCTCCTGGATCTCTGCCTCCTGAGTAGCTAGGATTATAGGCATGAGCCACCTGTGCCCAGTCTCAATCTCAATCTTGTCCACAAAATCACCCATGACCCTTTCTCAACAAATGGATGATTCCTTTTTGCCCATTCTGTGCTATGATTTAGATTTGTCTGAACTAAAATATTTAGTAGTACTTCTTTGCTTACATCCACTCTTCACTGCATCTTCCCTTCAAGCCAGAGACTTTATGAGCTACGTAACACCTGAACACAGCACCCAGACATAATGAGCACTCAATAAACATGAAGTGGGCACTGAGGTGTGACTCAACTTGTAGAGCACTTGCCTAGCAAGCTCAAACCCCAGCACTGCCAATTCACAAATGCTGGGTGATTCCTTTTTAAAACAGTGATTATTACAAAGATTTCAGATGCTTATTAAGTTACAACACGTTTTTACTCAGAATAGACTAATGATCACTAGGAGAAGCAATGATGTTAGAAGAAGAGACTGATTATTTACTAGATTTACTCCTAGACATTAACAATTATTTAAGAAGTTCCTTTACAAAGTTACACTTTCTAATTGCTTACTGCTAGTTATATGTAAATGTCCATATTTTAAAGTGCTGATCTTGTATCTAGCCATCTTGCTGAACAATCTTGTTAGTTTTATCTGAAGATACTCTTGGGATTTTTTAAATGTGGTAAATAAGTCCAGCTGTTTCTTCCTTTTCAAACCTTAAAGCTTCTACTTCTTTATTTCTGTACCATGTCAGCTAGAATATCCTCTGTAAATGAGAGTGATTCACATTGAATCCTTGTCACTCACAAGTTCAATGAAACCACTGGACACTGACATTCAGCAAGGTCTTTTCTGTCAGCTTGTATTATCTACCTTTACCAACTAAGAAAATCCATTTTATGTTTAACGTGCTGGGAACTGCTATGTAGTGACTGTATTTTATAAGGTGCTCTTCCTGAATCTCATTTCTTGTAGGCATTCTCCTGGTAAATCACATTACCACGTTATCTAATGTTAAACATTATTGAGGGGGAGAAAGATAAGTCCCCTCTGGTCAGGAGCTGGTCTTTTCTTTATTCATACACATTGCTGACTTTGGTCTCTGAGTATCTCAATGATGATGTCTATATCTGTATGTATATTCGTAATTGAGACCAGTTTATCATTTTCCTCTTTTAAACTGCTCTTCTCTATTTTACATATCAAAATTATACTAGCCTTATAAAGTACCGCCCTCTATAATTATTTTCATGAACGAGATAATCTCTTGAGGTTTTAAAATTTCATCTGTAAATGCTTTGTGGACTCTCCTGAATCTTTTTTAAATTTGGGGATAAGTAACTATCTTTTTTATTTTATGATTGAAGGTCTTCTGTGTTTTTATACTTTTCTGTCAGTTTTAGAAAATTATCTTTTTCTACAAAATGGCCGATTTATTGACACAAAGTTTTTTTATAGTATTCATTATAATTTTTACCTCCTTTCTACAATGATAATATCCACTTTCATTTCTAGTATTGTTCATTTTCACCTTTTCTGTTTGACGCTGCCAGTTTGTCTTCTCTATGATGCAGCTTATGTTAATTTGTTGGATTTGTTTTTATTAATCAATTTCCTTTTTTGGTATTTTCTTCTTTGCTCATTGGCATAACCTCATTACTTCCCCTGCGTCCCTCCCACCCCCAGTGTATGCAGTTAGTGCTTGCCCAACTAAAGACAGCTTATACATCCCACAGGCTTCTATACATAGTATCTTATTACTCGGATGCAAGTATTTTTTCTTATTTTCTAAATATTTTCTAATTATCAAAATAATTTGATCTTGCAATCACAAAAATATTTACAAGTATGGTTCAGTCATAAGATAGCCCAAATCTCTAAAGAATAAAAATGTGAGGAAATTCCCTAGGTTAAATAAATGTCCAATTATTTTTAAATACTCATTTTCTTTTCTGTTGACATTTAGGATTATCAGTATGAACAAATGACCAATTCACCAAAAAAATGTATTTATTTTTATTTTACATCTATTAGCTTAGAATACTTTATTAAGAATGTTCAACAATTTCCATGAAGTTTTAATTACCCAGTTTTCATTTTGATCTCTGTAAAGCATCATGGAGAATATTTGATTTGTCTTTGGCCTAACTCACCACTGGTACACCTGCTAGAGGATGAATAGAGAAGCCAACAGGGGACTGGAGAGACCACAGACAGGCCTCACCACACAGTAAGAAAAGGAGAGAGGCTAAGGAAAAGAAAGGACAGAGTGAGAGGGAGACAGAGAAAAGGCAGTGGTAGAAAGAGAGCCATGTTGAAACAGTCTGTACTAATCAGTTGATTTGGTATATCCAGGAATTGCTTTCTGTACTGACTCTCTCCGGAGGAGCACTGTCTTTGTTTTTATCTAGTATCCCCTGAGTTTCACTGGCCTGCAACCAGTGTTTGTTAATAATTTCTTGGCTGGAGTCACCTGAGTGAAGCTGGAGTTTCCATTTTTCAAGGAAGCACCTAAACCAGCTCAGGCAGAAACAAATTCCTTTGCCTCACTGTCCTGATAGGAAAATTTCTTAATCCTCTTTTTATGGGATGCAGTCCGCTACAATTCTGAGTTTTTTGCAAAGACATAACTTTCAAAGCCCTACCCTCACTGGCCTATGTCCAAGTTCCTGGCTACTCTAGTTCATAATCTCTATCCTGGCTGCTGCAACATCTATTCACACACAGCCCTACACGTCCTAGTGAAAACCCAGGGACCCACCTTCCTCTAACAAGGACTCAAATGTGCACTGAAAAAAAAAAAAAAAAAAAAGTAATTGTATTTTCCCTGCATTTTGTAGCAGGATGATTTCAACATTGGTCTTTCCAACATCTTTTCCTAAAGTATTTTGTAAACCTACAACCGATGAAAGTTCTTGCTGCTGGTTAATGCTAGTAAGACCCTATCTACTCTTTTTTCTGTCTGCTGCTTCTGATCTGTCAGGTACCAAGAAATCAAGTTACTTTCTTGGACATGCAGTGCAGAGAATTGGTAAACGCTTAGCTGCCATCCTAAATAAGAACTGCAAAACTCTAACTATCCCAGCAACCTTAAGACCTACCACTTTCTATCATCTATGAACTTAACAATATTTTCTAAGACTACTTATAACTTTCAACTCCTTTCTCTAGTCCCACCAACCCACACCTCTGGCAGGAAATAAATCCCATAAACATCTGCTCCTAAAGTAGCATTTTATCTTTGTTTTTCCTAAATTTATTTTAGATTGCAAAAACTGGCAATCTAAAAAAATCTAAACTGGCAATCTAAAAAATCTGGAAGGCCAGATAAACTAATGAAGACTCATGAAGAGAAACACATACTTTCACTTTTATAATTAGTTCTAAGTCTCCTCTAAACTCAGGCTTCTAAGAGGCAGAATGAATGGGCGAGGAAGCAAGTCTGTATTTAACTTTCTCAGGTAGGTTACTTTGATCAGACTTTTTGAAGCACTATTTGATTTTACTCAATATACCAAGTCCATCTGTAACACCAGATAGTCTTTAAATAAGAACTTGAGCAGTCCCTTACCTGGTGGTCCTGAATCTTCCTGCCCACCACTCTGAATGTGTTGTTGCCTGTATGGTGATATATATGAACTCTGCTAAACCCAGTTGAGCCACCAGCTGGCACCCACTTCTTATTGGCATCATCATAAACCATCACAGCAGCTCTTGCCTGACAGATACTCTGTTCGCTGTAAAAAAAAAAAAAAAAAAAAAGTTCAAACTTGAGATATTTAAAATATGCCAGATATCCCACGTAGCCATATAAGCCAAGGTAAGCCAGCCTGGCAGTCGATCAACAATCAGTATTCTTACTGAGTGCTGGAAACCACAGTGAATAAGAGACTCCCTGCCCTTGTAAGTGGAGTCTGAACAGAAGGCAAAAACACAAAGGTAATAAAAGTCCACAAGAGAAGGCCAGGACCCACAGACAGCATATAGACAAGCTGCACAGAAATGTTTCCTTCTAAATGTATCTGATTCATTCATTAAAGTGATACAATGATAAGTATAAATTAATCACCATTTGTTTACTGTATATGTGCTTACTATATTGGTGACCTTTTTTTTTTTTGGAGGGGGGGGCTTGACCTCAGGGCCTTCACCTTGAGCCACTCAACCAGCTGTATTTTTTGTTTTTCAAGATACGGTCTTCTGAACTATTTGCCCAGACTGGCTTCAAACCGCAATCCTCCTGATCTGTGTCTCCTGAGTAGCTAGGATTACAGGTGTGAGCAAACGGCAGCCAATGACAAAATTATTTTTATCACCAGGCTTACTTCAAGGTCTGTAGCAAATCCAGATAGGAGCAATCTTTCCCCTTGAGACATGGGAGTTGCCACTGACAACCAGTGAGGCAAGGTGACTACAGCCTTGGCTCCCTCTGGTCAAGGTAATACCCTCTGCTTCCACAGTCTTTCATCTCAAAGTGTGAAAGTAAAAGGAAATGATTTCTAAGGGCTCTACTAGAGTTTACATTCTAACCTCCACAGATTCAAGTGGAAAAGGCAAATTCTGTGACAGAACTGTTTAAGTCAGAGCTTCATTGACCTCAATGATTTGTTACCAAGTGATACAGAGATAAAGACAAAAAATACAGAGGTCAATTTCATATTAAGCAATAGGTTCATCTTTTAAATATTCTAGAAGACTCCTGGATTCGATTTTTCCTTACTCCATGCCAGGTTTTATTTTTTACGAAAATCAAATACCAAAATTGAATGTCAGAAATAGATTGGCCATTAACCAATTAATATAACTCAACTTGCACAGACAAACCTGGATAATCCTGCAATCCCATGCATGAGGAAGCACTGTTCAATCCACCAGCTTCTGTGAATTAAAAGGCTTCTGTTTGGGTTCCTCCCAAACAGCCTCAGACACACAAGGTCATCCTTACCCTCTCCCTCACTCATTCTTCCTTTGAATGAACACAGCTCTGGAGAAGGGGGTTGTGGTCAGTCTTGTCCAGACTCAATGACAAGATGAAGACCTAAAGCAGTTACTGTACTACCCTGAATAGTTAAATCCATTTCATAACCATGAGGCTGTAACTGTTTATAATTTCCCATTAGGGCAATTTTACAAACACTGTCTTGTAACAGTATTGCTACAGCTATCCCAATGGTGCTAAATTTTTTCATGCTCCCCTGAATTTTTTTTGGTAAAATCCTTCTAGCATTACAAACAAGTCAATGACTAAAGCTTGAATGATTTTTTAAGGATCAATTAAAGGGCACTTGTCAATATAGCAGTCCACTCACAACAAAAATATTTGCTAAGTGACAGCTTTTCTACAACTCTATACCAAGATTCTGTGGAGTAAGTGAAAGCAAAGTGCTTCTTACAGCTTTACTACTAACTGAAAAATCCAAGCAGATCTGTAGGGCTGGAGGTGGGGCTCAAGTGGCAGGCACTTGCCTAGCATGTCCAAGTCTCTGGGTTCAATTCCTAATACTACAGACTAAAAAGTAAAAATAATAATGATCTGTGAATCAATACAGAACAATGTTTTCCAGTTTTAAAAAGTATTTTTGGGCTTATATTCTCTTTCCCAAAATCCAAGAAATACTGTCTTTTGAAGAAATCCCAATGAGCCAGCGCCAGTGGCTCACACCTGTAATCCTAGCTACTCAGGAGGCAGAGATCAGGAGGATCATGGTTCGAAGCCAGCCCAGGCAAACAGTTCACAAGACCCTATCTCGAAAAAACCCTTCACAAAAAAGGGCTGATGGAATGGCTCAGGTGTAGGCCCTGAGTTCAAATGCTGGTACCAGCAAAAAAAAAAAAGTCCCAATGAGATCATACAAGCTAAAGCAATCCTCCATTTTGTAAATTATATCATGCTATACCTTAAAAAAAAAAAAGTCTTTAAAAACCTTGGAAATCTAAAGCCAAGAGAATTAGGTATTTGTTCTAAAGTCCTCCACTACACCAGCCTCTCTACTGTTGTGCAGTGGGTTACTGGAGACACCCCAAATATTAAACACATGCTTAATTTAATAGCTTTCACTAGTGGTAGAGCACCTGCCTGGCAAGTGCAAGGCTCTGAGTTCAACCCGTAATACTGCACTCCACTAAAAAAAAAAAGTCAGAAAAAGAAACCGCATCCTTTCTGAGCATGGCTGAACATGTACAGATCTGAGCTGTCATTATCACCTGAACAGTACAGTATATAACTACTCAGCACTTACACTGTATTAGGACTCTAAGTAATCTAGAGATGACGTAAAGTATACGCACAACCCATGCATACTGAGGGACCACTGTATATACAAACCTCTTAGTCAACAACCAAAGGTACAGTCACTTCAGGTCTCTGGGAAAGCTAGGACTACAGCAACAAGGACGCTCCCAAAGGAAGATATCCAGGAAGCCAAGAAAGATCAAAAATTAAAAAAAAAAAGTTGATTAGTTTTCTGATGAAGAAATCTTCAAAATGAGATGTTAAAATTACAAATTCAACTTTAAACAAAGCCCAGAAGTACTAGGAAAAGCCAAAAGAAAGAAAGAAAAAATTAGATATTGGTAAGAGCTTGGGTATATTACTAGAGACGTGATAACAGCCATGTGAGTATGTAGCCAGGTGAAGGGACAGGTTAAGCTCAAATAATTTTAATACTACAAAGACACAAGACATACAGAGGAGCCACATGAAGGCCAGCAGGAAGGGATGGCACTGCCCAGGTTTACTAACAAACGTGCTATTACCATTCCTTGCCCAGCACTTGAGAACCTCTCCTCACCAGAGACAGACCCGCTGTGATACAATAAAAAAACACTTGGTTTTAGTCCCAGGTTCCAGGCACAAAGCTCTTAAAACATTTGCACTCTCCTGAGTGTGTCTCTGCTATGCTAATGAAATGACTCTTGGCTGGGGTTCCTGGATAGCTCAGGATGGATGGCTAGAAGTACCAAGGCAGGACTAGAGGAGGAGAGGAGCGGAGGAGAGCTGGAGCCTGGCCAGTGCTTTTTTCAGTCCATCTGTGGTAACGCCCCCATCAAAACCCTGATGGTGCTGGAAGTGGTATGCAGAAAGCTCCAAGTCCCACAACCCAGGCCATGATCTACACAGCACTTATACTTAGCTGTTCCTGACCTGCGTCCTTTACAATGAGCCCGTCACAGCAGAGCTCTGAGTTCTGAGATCATTCCAGCACATTATCAAATGTGGATGGGAAATGTGGGTGGGCATGGATGGAGGGGTGACTGTGTACAGACACTTGGGTAATCTGGCACCTCATTTGCAGCTGGTGTCTGGTGTGAGGGCCACTGGGTGGGGCTGGGTCCTAAACTATGGTGTCTGTGTTTGCTCCAGAAAGTTACTGTCAGAATTGAATTGTTGAACATCCAGTGGGTGATGGAGAATAGATAGGCCATGTGACAAAAAAAGTTCATTCATATGCTAACTAGCTACAGGTGTGATATACAGAATACACCTATGAAACCTAGGTTTTGCATCTTACCGACCTACAAGAGTCAAAGACAGATTGAGTCAATTAGTACAGAACTGCTTGTCAATATTTTGGCTTTATTTGCCAGATGAGCAACTGGAGGGTGGGGAAGACCACTGTGACTTAATAAAACGAGGATATTTTTGGAACCTAAAAATAGGAATTAAAAAAAATCTTAAAATTATTAAATGTACCTAAAAATAGGAATAAAAAAATCTTAAAAATCATTAAATGTAATAACTTTCACTTTCTAAACAATTCTCTACATTATTCAAGTTTATTTTTTTCTTCCCCCATTTTTCTCTGGTCTAGTAATGTAAAACTGCCAGGCGTGGTGGTGGAGCACACCTGTAGTCCCAGCCCTCAGGAGGCTGAGGCAGGAAAATCATGAGTTTTAGCCAGCCTGAGCTCTGCCCTGCCCATTCTGGCAGCCACAATAGAAAGAAAGTATCACTGGTGGATATACAAACAATGGAGCAATGCATCTTTACAGGACCATCCTATCTGCATCAAGACAAGCCTCAAAATGAAAACCCGCCACTCTTCGAGATGCTGAGTCAGTGAAGCAACTATGAAAAGATTAAACTAGTAAATTACTAAATTGTAGTTTTGTGACGACCAGGCACTAAATTAGTTACAAACAAAAACTGCATTTTTATGATCCAACGCAAAGCTAGAGACAGCTAGTTTACAAAAACAAAGTCTTAAAAATGGCACTGCATTACAATCTTGTGGCTTTGTCAGATAGTTCACCTCTGAATATAGTCAAGTTTCCTGACCAGGTACATACAACAGTAGAGAAATCTTGCCAAATTCTGTCCTCACAGATACCAAGGAATGAAATGTTTCATTCCTTGTAATTAAACTAAGGACTGCTTGGCTAATCATGTATAAACTATTCACTGACATTGCAATAAAGTTAAGTTCTGGGGCAAACAAGGGACCTTGAGGACACTGACTATCCCAAGACCCCTGCAGAAAGAGAATAGGCTCCTCTTTACTGAGGGCCCCTCGCCCTTCAATTTTTTTGGCTTTCAAACCACGGCTAGCATGTGCTGCCACCATGTGGCCTTCTGGGCTTTGCGGTGACTGAGAAGTGACCGCCAAGAGCTGCAATTATTCCTGCAGAGCATGAACCTGGCTTTTGGAAATTGGGGTTCTTGGCTCTCTGAAACAGGAGGAAAGCACTGGGGACTCTGGGCCAAAGCCAGAACTTGACTGGTGGGCAGAGGTCCTAT